TGTGATTGAAATCTGGGGCAAGCAAAATAAAGAGATAATGGGGGGTGGGGTGGGAACCAGACCTCTTTGCTAAAATGTTTCCCATCTATTTGCTGCAAGTGTACATCGTCAAAACTGCACGAAGAACGTTGTGCGCTTGCCATTCTTGGCGAATGGTGTATTTTTTCCTGTGAAAACACAAAGTCTGGCCAAACGGGTGTAGAGTTCTGGTAAATGGTTTCCTGATAGCACTGTTTGGTATGGCAAAAAGACCTTGTGCATTTCTGTTTCTATTTACAATGATTCATCCTTCCTCTTTTAAGAGCTGGCCCATATCTTTCTGGCACAGGGTTAAGGCATACACTCTTTTTATTGAGATGCAAAATAACTCTTTGTGCTGCTTTCATGGACCAGTGCAGTACCAAGAGTTAAAATAGATTGCACAGATAATAAGAATCTTTTAAGTAACCATCAGTTGGATCACAACAAATTTCATAGCACGGACAGGTCCACAGTTACTGATTGGCTAACAGTCAGGCTGATACAATTAGATAGTAAGTAGGTAAGTTACCTCATGGATAGAACTGCTTCTGTCAGTGGAATAGGAAAGGGGGGAATCTCTGCAGCCTTGTATGTGCCAGACAGATTTGTGTTTGTGTTTGTGTATGTGTATGGAGCTGCGAGGGAGAGAAAAGAAGAGGAAGCAGAAACTGACCATTAAGAATGGCTGGGAAGGTGCTCCTCCACATCCCGTGACTGATAATGGTGCATTCTGTGGAGATGCAGGAGAAAGTTTCCTTGGCTGTAAAAACTCAACTGTGGGATGCTCTCTCCTCGGAGGCCCCGTTGGCAATGATGTTGATTTCATTTTGGCAGCAACCCAGCTGTTAAACATGGCAGTTCACCAAAGCCTTTGGGGTTTACGGGTCTTGGCCTGAGAAGGTTGTGGCATTTTTGTAATGTGTACAGTCTGAATAGGCCTACATTTTTAAATGTATTAAATATTGTTAAACTTTCTTTTAGGGAATTATATTTGTTTGAAATTTGTTTACAGTATATTGCTTTGGCGTTCCTAGCTGTGAAAGAAAGAAAGAAAGAAAGAAAGAAAGAAAGAAAGAAAGAAAGAAAGAAAGAAAGAAAGAAAGAAAGAAAGAAAGAAAGAAAGAAAGAAAGAAAGAAACCCAATATTGTGAGCAAACTTTCACTTGTGCATACCTTGGTTTTCGCTTATGTTAACTGTATGCAACTTCTTCAATTAAAAAAAACCTTACATAAAAATTAATTAGAGTAAGGAGACTAGCAATCTAGAGTCATCTGCCATGTTGCTTGCTCCTTCACTCATTCTCTAGCTCCAGTCTCATGATCCAACAGGCCATGGAGTCTAGAAAACCCAGCTTATCGGTCATGTGACCTTGGTCTCTTGTTTCTGCCCCATTGCTCACGCTATGCAATCATTCAACATTGGCACATATTTGCAAACAGAGGGGAGTGTTGTAGCCGCAACCTTTCATTATCACTTTCATTGGCCTTCAACATATGGATGGTGACAAGTCTGAAGGAGAGTCTCTGGTAATTGTGAGCCTTCTCCATATGAGTCAAGACCCTGGAATTCAAGGGTCTAACTCATGGGGAGAGCCCCCATGGACAATGGAGCTCCCTTTCCTCAGACCTATCATCCTTCATGTGCAGGAGGATGATAAAACTGAGGATGGAGGGGGCAGGGTAGAACATTCCGTCTATACACTAGTATTTTACCCAGTCTTTTAACAACGGAATGAGGTTACAATTTCTCGCAAATTATAAAAAATGGAAAACAACAGAAAAACCTACGTCTGCAAGAAGTCCTTGAATTAACACGACCATTCCAGGTGAATGACCAGGCCCATTTCTGTGAGTTACTGAAATACTAGAAAATCAATACCTCTGCAAAGAAGCCATCTTTTGGAATCAAGAAGAAAAGAAACTGGAACGTTTTCTGTTCAAATGTTCATTGTTCCCTAGGCTTATTTCAAATTCCTTTTGAAGTTATATCATCAAATCATAAATAGAACGAAATGTTCACCTTCTGGTGGATTTTATAACTTGTTTTTATAACTAGCTTTGTAACTTGGAAAAAGTCACAAAGGTTAACGGCAACTTTGTACTTCATTATTCCTTATCAGCCGAAGCAGGCCCTAGCTTAAGTTTTCTATTTTACGATCTAGGCTATAGTAATTCACTAACCAATGTGTCAAATGGAAGTGGCATTATATTATAATATAAAAACAAATTTATATTTTATAATTTTTTGGCAATGAAATACATATTGGCCACCATCCTACTGGCATAAATTTACACCTGCGTAAACTGGATGATGTCATTATCTAGAATGGTAAAATGCAAGTTAAAATAATTGAAAGCTTCCTATCCCCTCCTTTCAGGTTTGGAAGTTTCCTATGACTTCCTCTTACTCTGGAGAAACCTTTGGAGACCTTGGGATGGGGGCTGGCCTTTAATAGGCAAAAATTGCTGCTGGATCATCACCAGGCCCCAATTTCAGTGGCAGTGAATGGGCAGCAATTTTTGGCTATTAAAGTTTTCCCCTGGTCCCGAGGCTCTAGGGAGCTTTGTAAATTCAAGGGGGAGGTAGGAAATGTTTGATTAATTTAAATTAAATTTTACTGGCACAAATGGTGACATCATCTGGTTTACACTGGTGTAAATTTATACAAGATAATTTTGCCCATTGCTGAAGTAACACAAGATATACACATTGCATTAAATCCAAAGTTACAAATACTTTAAGTTAGTGATGGATAACTGAAGTCCCATTCATTGAACTGTTGGATAGCTCTGTGGCTTAGGCATCTGGGTTGGAAGTTCAATTCTCCACTGTGCTTCCTTGAGAGGGGCTGGGCTTGATGATCCATAGGACCCATTATTATTATTATTACAGAAAGCACAGAAATCGCTGAAACCAACCAAAGATTTCAGTTTCAGAAATACAGTGACGACAAGAAAGCCAAGATAAAGGAATCTTAGATTAACAACAACAACAACAACAACAACAACAACAACAACAACAACAACAACAACAACAACAACAACAACAACAACAACAGGTCTATTGAAAAGACCAAAATAGACATTAATGCAAAGCACAGCAATTAGAAATAGATTGACAAGCAGTAAAGAATGTGGAATTATCCTCTAATGCATTTCATAGCTTTGCAAATTAGTTGGCATTTGTTTGGTAACTGGTCATCAGGAAATGCTCTATTTGGTTATTGATTGTGCCAACACAGCGACTGTGAAGAATTTGTCACCTGTAGTGATAACTTTTTGCCTCTTCCTAATTATGAAGCTGCCAATTCCATTTTGATCCTAAATATGAGTAATGCTGGATTTAGGCCATTGGTCCAAATCCTCTTGTACAGGTACACAAGTGGTGTAAACTTCCTGGTTATTACATCATTAGAGCACCTAGGTGCTGTCATTGCTGAAGTTATCCATCCCACCATCTTGTTTTCTTAATTGTTTTTATGCTGTTTTGTTTGTTTCTTTTTTCAGGTTAAGATTGATGTGTTCAATTTGATTTTTGTACAGTACTGTTATTATAATCCAAATTTATTTAAAATGTTAATTGTTGTCCTTATTATGTTGTGAACTGCCCAGATTGGCCTTGTAACCAGATGGGCAGTACAGAAATTGAACCAACCAACCAACCAACCAACCAAACTGCCCCAAGTGAAGACACCACCGTCAGCATTATTGGTTGCATGTTGACTCCAGCTTTGTAGCTAAGTGAGAATGTTGATAGTCTGATAGTTCTTCTGAAAGGCTTCCTGTGCAGAGCCTGATGGGCAGAGGTTACCACACCCATAGTCTCTTGCAACTGCCATAGAGCTTTGTCCTCCTCTCCATTTCCCCTGCCTTCTCCACAGAACACAAATGGCAGCCAGAATCTGAACTCATTAGTGTAAGAACTTGAAAACATGTGTCAGGACTTTGATTTCTTGATTAAAGCCCCCAAATGTCTGGGTGCAGGGATTTCATCAGACTTCTGGGGGCTGTAGTCTACGAATTTGGAAAATCCCATGCTGAATAGTGCAGTCATTCAGCTCTCTAGAAAGGGGATTTAAAGCCATGCAGATCCACAACAGGCTTAAAGAATCACCCTGAAAAACACCTCTTCTAATAAGGATACTGTGAGTAATGAAAACAATGTGATTTCCTTGTGACTAAATATGTATTTGTTGTTCCTGTTGTTAATTTATTATAAGACTACGTCAGTCTCAATGCAAGTGTTCCCTGAAGTCCAACTGAAATGGGAACTTGGCCATTCTTGTCAAGGAAACATCTGTAAGAAGGTGAACCCTACATTTTGTCATGAGAGGCATTGGTGCAAGCTCTTGTTGGGTGGGAAGATCCAGTGTACCCAGTCATGATTTACCTGATGGAGTCTTGCACATGTTTACTCATAAGGAAATCTCATTGTTTCAAATCTTACAGCCTGGTATGTGGATATACTTAAGACTGAAATCTTCAATTCCAAATGAATTAGAGGCAACTAAGGTCACATAAAAACTAAAGCAACAATACTGTTTTATTTTAGTATTTTAGTATTATTTTAGAAGATGGCGCCAAGCAAAGAGAGTCAGTGTAAGACCCACACATCTCTGTTTAAATTCTTTCAGTTGTAATCCAGGGTTTCTTCCTGCTGGTGGAATAGGTTTGCCCTCTCTGTTTCAGCTCTTCTTATCCACAATTTCACTATAGAGTATGAAAGAGTATAAAGTATATAGATACATAGTGTATGATGTTGGAGGTTTCTACAAGACTTGTGTGTGGGGATGTGCAACAGCAAGAGGGAGTTGAGGAAAAGGTAAATGACAGGATGTCTGCTCAAACACTCCTGGATGTACCCTTACAAATGTTAAATACCATTTTAAAACACTGACACAGAACAAAGGTCACCCTATTTGATACCTAGAAAAAAAGAAAAATATTTGCATGACTAGACAGAAGGCGATGAGACTTACCATGAGCTTCTTCTGTATAGAGTCGAGTTTTTCAGCTGCTATTATCAAGTCTGAATTGGCCTGTGCTAGGGACTGCCGTTTGAGGTCAACTTCACAAGACACCTAGAAGACAGAACAGGAAAGGCTTTTTAAAGTGTGTCCATCAAATAAGTGTTTTTAATATGGCTGAATCTGCTGGTGTTGCCCAGCATGCAAGAGAGAAATGTAACATGGCTCTTTTCTCTGATGGGGCTGAAAAGCAAGAGAGAGAACCTATGAGAACAGAGGGCTGACGGATTACTCAGTGGTGGCTCCGGTAATGGTATGTGATGAGGAGCAGTACAGAAAGGAGAATACAATGAGAAGCCATGACATTGCATAGTTTGTTTATCTGGTGAGGAGACAGGAAGAGTCACACTGACCTGGGCAATGCTGTGATATCAAGCCAGATGAAAAAGGTTCTAAAAATTGTGGTGATTTAAACTGGTGATTTAAACTTTGCAGAGTGGTAAGCTGGCATATATATAAAAGGTTAGGAACAAAGAGAATAAAGGAAAAGGGGTTGAGAGAAGGGACTCCTGGGGGGCAGGTCCCTTGTTTCGTGGCCTCAAGGTTTTTGGGGGACACTCCCCCACACCACAGCCTACCTCCCCCCCCCCGTGGTTATTAGGCCATTACACTTTGGCCAGACCCTTCCTGGCTTTACATATATATATAAAGCCAGGGAGGGTCAGTGGCCAAAATGTAATGGCCTAATACTTTATATATATATAAAGTAAAGAAAAATAGGCAATAAATACATAACAAATAAATAAATATGGTTGTTGCAGGTTTTTTTGGCTGTTTGGCTGTGTTCTGGAGGTTTTTCTTCCTAACGTTTCACCAGTCTCTGTGGCCGGCATCTTCAGAGGATCAGGAGTTAGAACTCTGTCTATGCTCCGAGTTCTAGGAAGAAAAACCTCCAGAACATGGCCAAACAGCCCAAAAAACCTACAAAAACCATCGTGAAAGCCTTCGAGAATACACAAATAAATAAATATTTTGTAAATATTATAGGCAGGAAGGTTGTAGTAGGGGAGCAAGGATAAGAGGTTTGCTGCCCTGACTGGGCAGGGGGCTCTTTTCTTCCGACCTCTCCTGTAAAAACAACAACAACAATAACAACAACAATAATATGCACTCCTTCCCCTTCCTTTCCTGGGCCATTTAATAAGCAGCTAAAGAGGCCCAGCCCAATTAGAATAGACATATTGGAAGGATGGCTACAGACCCACCAGAAAAAAGATGATGCTGTTTACTTGCTCAATGGTTTCCGGGTGGGTTTTAGGATACCAATAGTAGGCGTGTGTAAGGGATCTTTTGTCTGGAACCGAAAGTTAGTTAGAGATATGGAGGACATAATTAAGGGGGGAAAATCAAGAAAAAGGTCAAGGAGGGTAGAATCTGGGGTCTATTTGAGCACACACCCCCGTACTGCACCTCAGGGCAGGGGTCCCCAACCCCCGGTCCATGGCCTGGTGCCGATCCGTGGCCTTGGCTGGCCTGGGCCGCAGAGACAGATCTTTCGCCCCCACGTACTCCCCCTGCATGCCCACCTGCACAGCCCCTTTGTGCATGTGCATGAGTGCACATGCATGCCGTGTGAGCACCCCTCCTTTGCGTATGCGTACGAGTGCCTGTATGAGCAAGCGCAGCACCTTTGTGCAAGCGTGAACGTGGGGGTGCCCTGCCTCCCTGCGCACAGATCCCACCCCCCCAACTGGTCCATGGTATCAAAAAGGTTGGGGACCACTGCCTCAGGGTGTCGCCACTGGGGTGGTTCCTATGAAAACTCAAGGCGAGTTTAGGCTGATGCATCACTTATCCTACCTGGAAGGAGATTCGGTAATTGACGCCATTCAGCCCAAATTATGTTCACCTCTTTTGACGCAGCAGTGCACATGGTTAGGGTGTGTGGAACTGGTGCGGAATTGGCTAAGTGTGACATTTAAGTTGGCCTTCCGTCTCCTGCCTGTCCACCCTGAGGATTTTGATTTGCCGAGTTTCCACTTTCAGAGAGCATTTTATGTTGATAGGGCTTTGCCAATGGACTGCTCCATACCTTCTGTGGCTTTTGAGCATTTCAGCTCCTTTTTGGAATGGAACCACAGTCACAGGGTAGGACTTAAAAGCACGGCCCATTATTTAGATGATTTTCTTTTTGTGGAGAAGGGGGATGTGGTGGTGCTGCGGGTTAAACCACAGAAGCCTCTGTGCTGCAAGGCCAGAAGACCAGCCATCATAAGATCAAATCCACATGATGGAGTGAGCTCCCGTTGCTTGTCCCAGCTCCTGCCAAACTAGAAGTTCGAAAGCATGTAAAAATGCAAGTAGATAAATAGGTACCACCTCGGTGGGAAGGGAACGGCATTCCGTGTCTAGTCGCACTGGCCACGTGACCACGGAAATGGTCTGTGGACAAACGCTGGCTCTACAGCTTGGAGACGGGGATGAGCACCGTGCCCTAGAGTCAGACACGACTGGACTAAATGTCAAGGGGAAACTTTACCTTTATCTTTTTGTGGAGAAGGCGGGTGAGGTAGGTGTAGGCTTATTTTGGAAGCTTTTCAAGTAATGGCAGGGGAGCTGGGGCTTCTGTTGGCCAAGGAGAAGTCTGAGGCCCCTCCACCACATTAACTTTCTTAGGAATAGAACTGGACACACAGCAGCAAGCTTGCAGACTGCTTGACATCAAACGGAGAGAGCTACAACAGTGGCTGACCAACATAGCAGGGAAAAAAAGAAGTTTCACTCAAGGAGTTACAGGACATAGTGGGGCACCTAAATTTTGCATGCCAGGCAGTTGCGCCTGGCAGGGCCTTCATAAGAAGGCAGTGTGATGCCATGAGTGGTCTGCAAAGGCCTTTCCACAGGACGTGGATCATCTTGGAGATAAGATTTTCAGGCATGGCTACAATTCCTGGAAGGATTCAATGGAATTTCCTTCTGGATATCAGATCTTAACCTATGGGCTGATTTTTCAGGTGCAGATGGACGCTGCCGGATCGTTAGGGTATGGAATCTACTTCAAAGGGAAATGATGTGCTGGCCCAGTTTAGCTTGGATCAGGTATCACCTGGGACCTCACCTTTCTGGAGTTCTTCCCCACCCTGGGTGCGCTTTGGTTGTGGTTGCATGAATGAGCTAACTCAGTTGTGCACTCCTGGTGTGATAATTTAGCAGTCATACTCCGAATGCGCGATGCGCTTGGTATGGGCCTTTACCCTGCGATCCTTTCAATTTAATATTATGGTGCAAGCAAGGCACATCCTGGGGCTAGATCAGGGGTCTCCAAACTTTTCATTGGGAGGACCACATCATATATGCTCCGCAATTTTGAGGGCTGAAGGAAGGCATGCCCACACATACGTACGCCCACACGCACTCCCGCACAACTACCTGCGTGCATGCCGGCTCACTGGGCTGGATAAAAAGGCAAGTTTGGAGACCCCCTAGGCTAGACTGATGCCCTATCCTGTCGATAGATACAGTGGTTCAGGCATTTAGCTCCAGAAGCCGGTGAATACTCTGAGGTTCTGCCACCAGAGGTTTGGCAAATTGGAGGGATGACACCGAGGGAGCTGTAGGGTTGGCTCTGGCCCCCAGAAGACGCAGGAGGTATGTGGCCATGAGTACAGATTTGAAGAAATTTAGAAGCATGATAGATCTGGACCCAACTTGGCAGGTTCCTGTAGAACACCTGCAACAGTATGCAGTTTATTTGTCTATTTGCACAAGGAGGGGTTATCCCCGGGATCAATTCAGGGAAGGATGTCTGTCTGGCATTTATCAGGACTTCACCTCAGATCTTCGTAATCGGAAGATGATTGAGGGTTGGAGTAAGGAAAGGGTTAGGACTCTGGATGTCCGGGCACCTATCTCCCTTTGCTATTTTGGTAAAAACCAATCAGCAGTGGGGGAGCTTTTACAGGGAGGGATTTGAAGAGGCCTTATTTAAGGCAGCAACATTGTTAACCTTCTTCGGAGCCATAAGAGTGAGTGAGATATATAGCATATATAGCAGACAAAATGCAAGAATAATAGTAAATGGAGAGAAAACCAGTCAATGTCAAATTTCTAAAGGAACACGCCAAGGATGTCCACTCTCACCCTTGTTGTTCATAACAACATTGGAGGTACTACTAAGGAAAATAAGAAAAGAGAAACAAGTTAAAGGTTTAAAAATTGAAAAGCAACACTTTAAACTAGTAAGAGACTTAGCGGATGATATAGTAATCTTTCTGGAAGACCCATCATGTAATATTATGAAACTGAAAGAAATAATCAGTGACTTTGGAGAATGAGCAGGTTTAATTATAAATGAAGGAAACACTAATATACTGACAGAAAATATGACAGAAAAAAGAAGAGAAAGAATTAGAAATTAAGACAGGTTATAAAGTAGTGAATAAAGTAACATACCTGGGTATAACAATAACTAAAAAGACAAAGGACTTATTTGAACAAAATTAAGAGAAGAAAGGGAAAGAAATTAAGAAAATTTTAGAAAGATGGAAACACTTAAAAATCTTATTGATGGGCAGAATAGCATTTATCAAAATGATGGTATTATGTATATTCGTATTCCTATTTCAGAATATCCTGATAATAATAACTAACCAACCATATCATTTGTGGAGAAAATAACACTCAAATTTTATTTGGCAGGGAAGAAAATCAAGAATAAAATTGAAATACTTGCAAGATGACAAGAAGAGAGGAGGATGGGGTCTCCCAAACCTCTAATTATATTATGAGGCGGCAGCACTACAATGGTTAAGAGAGTGGATAAGATTGGGGTTTGAAAAAATATTAATACTAAAAAGCAAAGATTTAAAATATGGACTTCATGCATACTTATGGTATGGAAAAAAGAAAGGGAACAAAGCTTTTGATAATAATATGATAAGAAAAGCATTAATAAGAGTATAGGAGAATTATAAAGGGAAATTTTATTGTGGGATTCCAGTGTGGGTGTCCCCCCATGAAGCTCTCTCAAAGGAAATTGAGATAAAGAATAATAAATGGCTAACATATAAAGATCTACTCATAGAGGAAGATGATGGACAACTAAGATTAAGAAC